AGGACACCAGTCCAAGAGCCAGCGTGAGCAGGAACTGCCTTCCAGCTGGCGTGAGAATGCCAGCACGCAGTCATGCCGCTCCAGTGAACCCAGCCTGGCTCTGGACTGGCCTGCAGGGGGAGCCCATCAGGACGCCACATCGTCTGCGAACACCCCCGCCTGGAGTCAAACCCAGGACCCGCGAGCTGAAGAGCAGAGGCGCTACGCTCCACGCCACCCCGCTGACCTGCTCTTCGGCCCCTCGAAAAAGACTCTTGAATTGGCACTTTCACACCCTGGACACTTCTAACAGTGAGACGCCAACCAGAGGACACGGGTGAAAACTTTCTGGAAGAGCAGTTACAAACGAGAACAGGAGGCCCGTCTTTACACAAAGAGTGGTGGGAGTGTGGAACAGGCTGCCCAGCCATGTTGCAGAAGCCTATACCGTGGTTTCTTTCAAGAAACAGCTGGATGAGATCCTCCAGTCAGGACAGGAAGCTCTTTACACCAAGAGTGGTGGGAGTCTGGAACAAACTGCCCAACCCTGATATTGAAGCCGATACCCTGGTTTCTTTCAAGAAACAGCTGGATGATCCACAGCTCAACACACTACTGACTAGCGAACGGGCTGGATGGGCTCCTCACATCTGTAACTGGTCTTGATCTGTCTCACAATCACACACGGAGAGCCAGTGTCTTTGTCCACAGGGTTTAATGATGCTTGATAAAAAACTGTTACATCACAGCAGGGTTGTGTGAGAGGGAGGGCGGGAGACTGTGAGAGGGAAGAGGAGTGGAGAGAGAGCGGATGAGAGAGGGAAAGGGAGACAGCCAGCAGCTGCCTGATGGCCAGGTTCACCAGAGGGACACACACAGACCGAGAGGATTCAGTTAGTCAATAAACCCAGAACCAGCAACAACTCGATATTCAAACACGGACACACAGAGAAACAACTACAACAACGCCGACAGACTGCGCCAGTCCCGAATCCGGATGATGGCCAGCGGGAACCCCCCCTCTCTCTGTCCAGGCACAGAGGGGAAACTGAAGATCACCACCACCGTGCTACAACCAGTAACGATCACTTCACCTGCACACAAATACTGATGAGCCGCATTCTGTGGGTTAGACAGCAGGGGGCGCTGTATCTCACTCTCTGCACAAGAGGTTCTCATTGGTGGTCCTGTGGACCCCTGCCTCTGCTAGTTTTATGCCAGCTGTGGCCCAAAATCACCAGGGATAACAGCCGCACAGGAACTGATCTGATTGTTGGATTATTTCCAGCAGCTTCTGCAATCTGAAGTTCATGCAGTCAACATTAAGTCAATTTTAGAAGGACCATGTCAGCCGTGGAGCCTTTCTCAGGTGTGAAGAAGAAGGAAAAAGGATCCACAGCCAAAATATTGAACGGCTTTTCTTTTCCTTTCAGCATGGAATAAATCTTTACCTGTTCCCTCATAGGAGTGACACTATATCAGACACGCCCACAGTGGGAGTGACACTGTATTGGATACGCCTACAATGGGAGGGACACTGTGTGAGACACGCCCACAGCGAGGACAACAGGTGCCTCTTCTCATGTATTCAGAGCTAAATGCAATTTTAAGAAACAGGCCACGAATTAAAAAAATAAAAGAAATCAAACTGTGATTAAGACTGAGATCCCGGACCAGGACTGAGAATCACTGATCTTGCCCAGGGGTCCTCACTCCTGCTTCTGTAGGCCTACACACCTCCTGCTTTTCATTCTGGCCTGGATAAATCACCTGCCTCATTCTCACATTTACAGTTCCTTTCTACTCTGTGAGTTTCTAAGTCTCATGTAATGTGGTGGTTAAAAGGTGACCTCAGGTGACAGTTGGCTCAGCAGGACCAGCACTAGGAGCCCTGCTGGAACCCGACTTTATTATTATTTTTATTATTATAATAATTATGATTATCAATGGCAGTAGTAGTACTATGTTGCAAGATGTGTGCCATCATCCTCACTCCTCTCTCTCCTCTGAGCCCCCTTGTGGACTGGGACAGACCCGGAGAGAGAGGGGGACCTGGAGGCAGAGAGAGATGGGGAGACCCAGTGCTGTCTACAGCCAAACAGACAGACAGACGAACAGTCAGGACGATTCCTAGCGATGGGCCAGTGCAGTGCCCCCTGGAGCCCAGAGGCCTCTCTGTACCCCTGTAAAACAGCAACAGCCGGGAGTTAGAGTGACACACCACCGCCGCTTCAATCTTCTTCATCATCATCGCCATCCTCAGGCTACAAACGCATGTGGACGTGGCAGCTGCAAAAATTGAACAACATCTCCTAGGAGACCCTGCTGCTAGACCAGAACAGTTACCAACAGGATCAGCCAACAGCTTCCTAATCCTAATGACAAGGAGGACACTCTGACACTCTGGTGGGTTTTTTTTTGACATATGACTCTTCCAGCACAGAGACAGTTACTGTCACAGGAAATGACATCACTCACAAGAGCCCTTGGTAATGCTCAATTCTCCAGTGATAGGAGGCCTGGCCCTTTGGTGTAGGGGAATTCCCCACAGGTTGCAAATCAGAAAGGTGTGGATCTGAAGCCGGGGTAACATATCCCAGTTATTTATTATTTTTAAAAAATTGACCCCTTGAGATCACTGCTATAATGACAACAAATTGCAAGAACTAATTCAGATGGAGTAAAAGTTACCTCATTCTTACTTTCTTACTTTTTAGCAATTACACAATCTATTTTTCTAACACAGAGATGAGGGGAGTTAACACATGATACATAATTTAACAGATTAAAAACTAATGACAGGGTACCCACTCCGAGGCTGAGAAAATGAAGAGAGCTCACTCTTGGGGCACAGGTCAGCTGCAAATTAATTCAGTCTGAGCTTGGAGGAACAGGATATTGGCAAGTGTAATGCCAGTTAAGCTTTTACCTTGGAAATGCCCTGGTGATTTGTCACACAGGTTAACATCCTGAAACTAACCCATGCCTTTGACAGCTCAACTGTCTCACAAGACTCTTACATATTGATTCTCACATCACCTGTCTGTGTTAACAAATTGTGTAATAATTAATAATAATTCCTTACATTTATTTAGCACTTTTCTGGACACTCCACTCAATGCACACTCACAGCCTCGGTTCTACGTCTCATCCGAAGAACGATGCCTTTTTTCCCCCATCAGTATACTGGGGCATTAGGACCCAGAAAGACTGCCAGGTCGGCGCCCCCTACTGGTCCCGCTAACACCTCTTCCAGCAGCAACCTCAGCTTTCCCAGGAGTCTCCCATCCAGGTACGGACCAGGGTCACACCTGCTGAGCTGTGAACTAGCTGCTGGTCTAATACTGTCCCCTGTGGACACTCACCTGTCTATGTGAACATGCTGCCCAGTGTGGAGGCCAGGATGATGGCCAGGATGAGACAGCAGACCATGATCATGATCTTCTTCTGCAGGTGGGAGCCAGAAAAGAAAAAAAACGACAGGAGAAATAGAGAGATGGAAACAGCACAGGAGGCCACTTTTCACAAGGTAGGACGCAACACTACAGTACAGCCACCAGGGGGCGATGGCCCAACTAACATCAACCTGCTCCGCCACAGCGCGGCCAAAGGGAGCCTGCAGGCTGAAGTCAGTGAGCAGACTGGAGGTGGGACAGGCTGAGGCCCCTCCAGCCCTTCAGGCGAAAGCAGCCCGTCTGGTGTCAAAGCTGCTGGCTCCCCGGCCATCTGGAAGGCTGGTGCTTTCAGCAGATCTACTCGCCAGGTCTGGACCAAAGACTCTGAGGATACTCATCTTTCCCACACAGCCTCCCGGGAGCAGGCATGTGCCAGCGGGTCCATTTCAACCTTCTGTGCTTTCTCAAAACGTTATATTTCCACCTGTGACGAACTGGTAGGGGGAACGTGTTTATCCAGAGCGGCCGACAAGTGCCCCCGTTCTTACAGCTGGACAGACCACCACAGCAGCTCAAGAGTCAGCTACCTCAAGGGGACACCAGCTAAACACCAGTTAAAACGAACTAACCAGCTGTTTCCAACTGCTTTATCCAATACAAGGTTGCAGGGGTCCGGAGCCTATCCCAGCATGCAACAGACACACGGCAGGGCACACCATGGACGGGACGCCAGCCCATCGCAGGGCACAGACAGACACAGACATGCACACACTCACGCCAGGGCCAGTTTTCCCAGAATCCAATTCACCTACCAGCATGTGTTGGGAATTGATCCCAGGGATCCAGAGCTGTGAGGCAGCGATGCTGACTACCACAGCACCATGGCCCCCCTCTGCTAACTACTCGCTACTGTCGCAGCCACGCAGGTGGGGCTGAATGGCCTCCCCTCGTCTGTAACCGCTCCTGTGTGCCGGCAATCTCAAACACAGTAGCGGTGGTAATAGTAAAGTCTCCAAGACTCCTCGCCCAACAAGGTGTGAAAACAGAGCTGCAGTCAGGAGGCTGCAGGGCTGAAGCAGGTGAGCAGGGAGACTTGCTCACAGGGCACTGGAGACTGAGGAGACCCCTCCCAGCAGCAGAGATGCTGAGCACCATGGCGCCTGGGCCTCATGTTTTTAACGGCGTGATAGAGTCTTTAACTGGGGAGCAGCGCTGGACGCAGGTGAGGTTAAAGACCTCTGGGCCTCTGGCAGCTGGCCGCTGGACTGATGGAAGAGACCAGTCTGCGGGGCTGGGGAGAGCAAGTGCCATCTGTGATCTCTGCCACACCAGCGCACACAGAACAGGTGCGCCCCATGAGCATGATGGCACATGACCCTGACATGACCTTGGCGCATGACCTTGACAAGTGCTCTGGCTGTAGGGCCTAGTCACATGACCCCGACCCAGGAACCTGTCATGTGACCCTGCCATGCAGCCTTGTCACATGATCCTGGTGAGGGAGGAGGTAGGGGGAGGAATGGAGGACGGACTAAGGAGGAGGAGGAAGAGAAGGATTAACAGGAGAGGGAGGAAGAGAGGAACAGAGACAGACTGAGAGAAATTACCCACTGAACCCCAACTGCATAAAACACAAAATATAAAATCTCTTTATTCCTTCAGTTAAAATGTTTAAAGATTGAGAACAATAACAAAAAATTACTGTCAAATCAAATCTGAAAGTCACATGCTCTCCCCTCTGTGATAATCAGCGCGGTCTCAGTGGTAGAATCTGGTGAAGTGAGTGGGGCACAGTCGGGGGCATTCTGACTGGCTCAGCCCCAGGCCCGGATTGGGAGCTGGATACAGGGAAACCTCAGAGCAGGAGAAAGAGGAGGGAAGGGGCTCACTCTGCAGAAGGGGACCGGCCAAGTCAGACAGGACGTGAGGCAGAAAGGGTGAGTGGGCACAGGTCCTCAACTGGTAGACGGGAGCAAACGTCATCAGAGGGACGAGCAGGATGGAGACAAGCCCAGGAGGCCCTGCCCGGCTGACTTAGTGTGGCAAGACGTGGCGAGCAGCAGGATGAGTGAGAGCGAGGAAGAGAGAGCCTTCACACTGTCTGTCTCCATGGTCTGGCTCTGTCTGTCCATCTCCCTCTCGCTCTCCTCAGTGGGCGTGTCCATCTCAGGAGTGCATGGGCGGAGCTCCACAGAATGGGAGGAGCCACGACAGAAAACAGGAAGTTCCCACCCAGTTGTCTTCGTCTGATTGGTGGGCGCCGGGGTCAGGAAGGCCAACAGTTGCACAGGGAACAGGGAGATTAGGAAACAAGGGATGATAGGAGGGATTTGTAGGATGCAAGGTTTCAGCCTTCTTGTCACTTAATGGTTGTTCCCAGAACAATTGCCAGGATGACCAAAACTAGGACTGTGCAGACCACACTTAGAATGATGACTTTCTGGGGAGGAAAGAGACACAATATCAGTCATTCAGCAATTACGTAACGAGGGCTGGGTCACTGAGGGTCCGCAGCCCCCAGAGCGCAGACAGCGCCTGCCCAGTGTCGGGTGAAGGGAAGACACATGTTTCTGGGTGTGTCGCAGCAAAGAGGCCAAACTGATCATCTGCAGAAGAAAGAAGCACTACAACTGAGACCTGCAGTCTGTCTCATGAGTGCAGCCCAAAAACTGACCGGTACCTCTGAACAGAGACTGTTAGTACTAAAAAGGATCAAGTAATAGGTTTATTCCATGCCGAAAAGAGAAGAGAGAAAACGCAACGTTTCGGCTGTGAAGCCTTCTTCAGGTGTCAACATTGCGTTTTCTCTCTTCTCTTTTCAGCATGGAATAGACCTATTACTTGTTTCCTTGTAGCCTACGCATGCTGACGCAGCTCCCCACCTGAACTACACTGTACTGTGATTTCACCCTAATCTCACTGGGCACTAGTGCACTGCACTGAGATTTCACCCCAATCTCACTGGGGAATAGTGCACTGTACTGTGATTTCACCCCAATCTCACTGGGCTCTACTGCATTGTACTGTGATTTCACCCCAGTCTCACTGGGCTCTACTGCACTGTACTGTGATTTCACCCCAATCTCACTGGGCTTTACTGCACTGAGATTTCACCCCAATCTCACTGGGCTTTACTGCACTGAGATTTCACCCCAATCTCTCTTGGCACTAGTGCACTGTACTGTGATTGCACCCCAATCTCACTGGGCACTAGTGCACTGTACTGTGATTGGACCCCAATCTCACTGGGCACTAGTGCACTGTACTGTGATTGCACCCCAATCTCACTGGACACTAGTGCACTGCACTGAGATGTCACCTCAATCTCACTGGGCACTAGTGCACTGTGCTTTGTGATTTCACCCCAATCTCACTGGGCTTTACTGTACTGTACTGTGATTTCACCCCAATTTCACTGAGCTATACTACACTGTACTAACAAGGCATTAACAATGCTTTTGCAGCATGCTCCAGCCTGCTGTTCCTCAGACTTCTCCATCACCACCAATCCAAACTCCAAACAAGATCCCAATGAGAAGCAGAGACCAGGAAGACACCCATTAAACCACACAGAGCCCTCTCACCAGGTACGTCCCCAGCTTGACACCAGCTTGAAACCACACACCCAGTCACCCTGTTCCAGCCGAGGAGAGACCGTGAGAGAGGAGACAACAGGCACAGCACAGAGATTGTAGACTAGTGTTTTAATTCATGTCCAGTCAGTGCGTCTGTACTGTATTAACTCCTCTCTCTCAGCTGCCCCAGTGTAACAGTGCTCAGCGTCTTTACTCACAGACTGAAGTCTCATTTGCGAGTGAGTCCCACCGACAGTCCGATGATGAGCGCAAGGACTGCCAGACACACCAGGGCTATTGCCACTATAATCACCACTTTCTGAGGAGGACAGCCAGAGACACAGCGCTGATCAGGGAGCTTCTGAGCGGAGTCACTGTGGCACTAATATTCCAGTACTGTTACTATATGACAGAGATCTCTTTCTCCCTTTCAATGGGGAAAGGATCTGTGGGTGTCTGGCTGCTTTGCAGGAGATGTAGCTGCCTGCTGGCTTCTCTGCTGTAGTGTGGAGCCTCACAGGCCTGTGTGACCACTACCGAGCAGTGCGACTGCGCAGGTCCGGGCCCCAAGGCAGAGCGGGCCCCTGCGGCTGCGCAGGTCCGGGCCCCAAGGCAGAGCGGGCCCCTGC